TGACTTCATTCCAACCTTTGCATGTCTTTATAACGACATCAAGATAATGGCAGAGATTTGCAGACTATTTCTGTTGACCTTTAACCCCTGCTTCACACACATGGCCTCGCTCTAGCCTTTCAATTGTTCAAAGGAGAACAGTGAGTCACAGAATCAAAGAGCATCAGGTGAAATAATGTGTTCTCTTCAGGTACAATGCCAGCGCTACTCATCATCAACTGACCCGGCAATAGTATTGATTTAGATTCCTGAGATAAATAGTCGGAGATAGTCTTTATCACAGGCGACACTAAATCAAAACAACAGAAGGGTGTTTCTCCTGTAGAGCGGCAAAGAGGCTAACATGTCTGCAGCCGAATAATTCAGAACTGTGAGAATGAAAGAGTCCATCTTTAAGCCACAGGGAGAAGGTTTAATCTTTTGTAACATCTTCTGATGTGAGGAGGTGCATAACAGACAGCTAGGATTGGAATAGCACTAAATTTAATATTACAAAAAGGAACACATTCCTTCATTCCAAACAAAGGTCAACAAGGTGTAAACTAAATGTTTTCTACTGTAGGTTGTCAAGACCTCCCTTTTGTTTTTAATGCCATATAAACAACACTTTCACACTCTATAGTTTTCAACTTATGGTCTGACTAAATGTACAGTTTTGTTTCACTTTTGTTTCACTTTGCCTTCCAGTCAAAGTTAGATTTTGGAAATTCCCTGCCTCTTGCCCATAATTACATCCTTCCAGTGTACCAGTTGCCCTGCTTGGGAAAACATGGACAGAAACATAGTCACCCACAACATTTAAATACACTTTCCCATGTAACAGCTGGCATCACATAAATTTACAGTATGTACGGCCGTGTTCATCTGATCTTTAAGTGCCACTTTGCACTCCTTTCTTCTGACACAGTTTGGCTGTTTGAGATAGGCCTTCTGTACTTTTCTTCTCATTGGTCTAAATACGGCTGGGCTACGTTGGATAACATGATGCAACATTCCTCCTTTCACAAATCACTGATTGGTTGCATTTGCAATAAAGATATAACAACAGTAAGTGGGTGGTTTAGTCACTTGTAATCTAATCTAATCAAACCACACCCACTTAGTTTAATGTCACTTTAATCAAAATTATTGTGACACACACAAGTATCCTATTTGAAAGCGCACACTTTCTGATACTGTGTATGTACAGCTCCTTTCAGTGGAAACAGGTCTTATAACTAAATATTTACTTTAGGAGATGGTGGAGACCAAAACAGAGGGAAAAGAGCCAAATTAAGGAATTTTCACTGGAGTTCCTGTGAGGAATGTGTTGAATGGCTGACCCTAGTATATGTTTGTAATTCTTAAACCTGATCCTACTTTCTTTATAATAGTGAAACCTATCACTCACTGTAAATCCCTGTCATGAAAAATGTAAAAATGGCTGATTCAGCAGGCTACTGGTCACTTCATCTGACACATATCCTGCAGCTGCTGTTTCAGGCATTAAAGGGTTAGCAACTAACAATATAAAAATAGTAAACTATTACGCTGCTGGTTTCATTTGTGTTTGTAGAAGAGGCATCAATATTCACTTTAGTGTGTTTATTATGAGCTAAATTACTCCTCACAGAGCTTTAAAGAGGTGTACACAAATATGACTTCTTAAGAATCTAAATATTGCACAATAACAGCGAGATGTGTTGTAAAAGGGAAACTCATAGCAATGTTGTGTCCCCTGTCGTCAACATGCCTGACAGATTGTTACTGTGATGGTAAAGAAATAAAGTCACATTTTATAAAGGGCTTTAGGGTGCTATGTTCACCTTGTCACATTTTTTCCCCCTTTTTTATATCTCTGATCTCACACAGTATTAGCTTTGGCTATATGTGAGAGATTTCACCACTTGAAGCATCAGACAATTATCTGTCAGGGGTTCCACTGCCATTGGTTCAAGTTCTCAATATAATTACAGCATGGGGGGGGGGGCATGAGCAGGTATATTTTCCATACTAGGGTCCTCTTAGAGACAACAAAAGCACCTACTCAGCAACAGTTTCCAATCATCCATTCATGAACACCTTACAGAGAGAAACTGTACACGGTACAATCAGCCAACGAACAGCTCTCCTGGACTTTGCCCAGCCTTATCTCCCTGCTCCTGCACATCCACCTTTATCACTCAACTTCATAAATCTGTTCAAGCTACTGGACTGTAAGACCGACCACAGGGCACTGTAAAAAGCAATTGTTACCTTATGTGTAAAACACTAAAAAAAAAAAAAAATCAAATAAGACTTAATCTCAGCCGTATGGACCAAAATTACAACTCAGCAAAGTAGCTCTTAATAGCGTGTGAGCCATGACAGAAAGTATTCAAACTAAAAGCTGTTCCTTCATTGATTCATGCACAAGTCTATTTCGGGGAGAATCTAAAGGGAAACACATGCGGTGAGGACTTCCCATTTCCGAACTGTCTGACTGTGCCCAGTAAACTTTTGATCAGGTGTGTGCGTGCGTGTGTGAGTGTGTGTCAAACAGTTCTTGTTCAGCATTTATGAGGAGAGATGAGTTAAGAAAAATGCTGATATAGTCCTCGTAGATAAAGAACACAATCAGCACGTTCAAAAGTCCACAGATCAAATGTCACAGAGACATCTGAACAGGTAAGATTTGTGTTGAGCACCAGGGAAAAGCCCAGACTAGTTATTTTAAAATACTCTCACTTTTTAAGCAGCTGCTACTCAAACCAGTAGAGCTACATTTTCACTAAAACAAAGGTAGGCTATTCTGCAACATTTTGACCCCTCATGTAACCCTTAACCTACATTTGAACTTAGAGCAGCTAACAAAATAATGTCTCTTTGTAATACATTCAGTCAGACAAGTTCCTGTACAACATGTGTGTAGACATCATGTGTGAAGTATCTTGATTCTTACTTCCCTCCTTTGTGAATGAACACTTGTAAGCACTCACCATTTCACATTCCAAGTCAGCAGGATAGCAGCAGCAGGTCACAGTCAAATGTGTTGGAAACCCCCGGTGTTGGCACAGAAAGACACATGAAATATGAAATAAAAAGTCAGTTCAGGTAATGAAAGTCAGGGAAATCACCCTCGCCGGATGCAAACAACCTCTAACGGTATGTTAATGCTGTCCAAATCATGCAAAACTGAGTTGATTCACTGTCAAGCGACGGGACTCACATGTAGAGAAGTTTTCTCAGTGCTTCACAGCGCACATACACAACAAAGAGAAACAAAAGTGAGAAAGTTTACCTGACTCTGTATGAGCAGAAACAACCTCCCAAACAGCAATTGGCAGCAGTGTGTGTGTAACCGGAGAGAAAGGAATCCCGACACGCGGCTCGTCCGGGTGGAAAGGAGCAGACACCTGTAAGCGTCTGCTGTGGAAAACCTTCCCAGAGACGGACCGACTTGACCCCGCCCCTCCTGCCTCAAAAACGGCCCCCATAGTGCTCCTAAGCAGGCACGCCCCACGATGACGACTCCACCAGAATAGCCTCAGTGCCCCCTGGTGGTAGCTTTGAGACAGGGGGGTAATGTTTGATGACACATGACCACCAGATGGCCGTGTTAGGCTGGGCTACAAAGGAGATGCGTCAAGATTACTCTGCAAAGATGACTGATGGCGAAACCTGCAGGTAGGTTCAAGACATAGACTACCCTGTTTTGTTTTTGCATTAACAACAATTAGGCTAAGTGAAATAAATATTTAATTCAACCTGTGAAAGAAGTACTTGGCTGCTTTAAACAAGTAAACAGTAGCAATGTCTAAATTAAACTGTACACAATTTCAAGTAAAAGCCCAGCATGTTACATAGAGTATGTTAAAATGTAGTTTTTTTAAATGGCATATTAGTTGTGTGTAGTCAGCAATTCATTGTGTAGCTGGGTCGAATTCAAACTGATTCCATGTTATATAAGGGTCTATTTGGGTATCTTCAATTTGTAAAAATCCACCGAATACTGTCAGGTTATTAGTTAGACACTAGTTTATTAGGTGCACTTTGCTAATGCTGATGCTAGGCAATGCTATGCCATGAAAAGCAGTTTAGCAATAAGCCAGACCTCTGTGAAGGTTATAATGTTTAACTGTTGTGTGGGATAATCTGAGATGCAGGGCTGGAGAAACCCAACATCTGTCTTAAGTGTTTATTCAACTTTTTGGTCATCTTGGAGGCTGCATAGAATTTAGCCAAACTGGTAAGTAGCCTGATAAGGTATGTAAGTAGAAAATTCAGCTAAATAGAAAACTACAATTATTCCCCATTACAAATAGTGGAGAGCTATAAATAGCATATAATGTAGTCAAGAAAAGGACCACCTTCTTGTAAGGATTAGACTACTTGGTTGATTATACTGTCCACTAATGCAAGCCTCGTAAAAAGCATTTGCGTCATATTGCACCCAAATTTAGTGCTATATGCAAAGAAGCACATAAAGCAGATGTCAAACCAAGGGGAAAATCTAAACAAAGAAAGTCCTGAAACATTAGCAAAAGAATATATTTCCATTAAGTGCATGACGGACATGGAAATGATGCTATTGCAGTCGTCAACTCTCAACCTAGATTTGTCAAATTTTTGCCAAGTATTACTGGTAGTGGTTCATTTTGGTTAATCTGTTTACTGAGACACAATAGTTTCTGGGTTTTTGCTTTAAATGTTCAACTGTATGGATTTACTAATCCCCCCTGCTTTAATAACAAGGCCAGCAATCAAAAAGACTGTTGTAAAGGTCACCTATAGATTACTGGTCTCAGGTCCGTTAGCACACCTAGTGTAGCATCAATACCAATGCCCTCTTTTCCAATAATGAGAGACGTTACTTTAAACAGGTAAACAAAACATCTGGTTGCCAAACTTCATCACTCCGTTTTCATCTTCTCAATTTAATGTTTTTCTTAATTCTGTTAAAATGATTGTGCGCAAACAAGAAACGTTGCATTTGATGTGTTTAGTCTGACATCACACAGAGACACCTATTAGACGGGACAGAAGGTGTTACAGGCAAGTTTATTCAACCATAAATGCTTCATATAAACAAGTGTGCACAGAGGGGAGACCTTGTCCTCAAGGACCTGTTCCTAAACCAAACTCTACCTGAGATTCAATTCAGTTCACCTTTTTCACGTGCTATTCACATAACAATGTAGAGAAACAAAACTAGACTATTTAGTTTTCTGTGGCATGTGTCGATGCTACAGTACAACATGTCAGACAGCAGGTCTCAGTGACGGTTTTGGCAATTCTACAAGCTACAATGTTTGCCTTCATACAAAAGAAAAGTAAAGTCTTATCTCATCAGATTTTATTTTTTTTCATACAAATCTCTTCTAAATCTTCTTACAAGTCTTTAGTATTGCTCTTGCTACATTGAAAAAATAGAAAAATTACATCTGAAGTTTGAGCGGTGGTTGTGGTGTTTATAAAGAGCTTGGCTCTTGATTGTTCATGGCTATGTTTCAATAGTCCTTAGCTGCTTACTCTCCACGTTTCCTTGCCTCTGTAATGGCCAGCTTCACATAGACAAGAAGGTAGGAACAGAAGAATAAGACATCAAAGAGTTTTAGAGGCTCATCAGCAAAAATAGGAGTCTAAGATTCTGCAGAGGTACACGATGTCACTGCATTGTCCTCTCCCTGAGCTACTTCCACTGGTACCATCGAAGCTGCTGCTGTGTCTGTTGCTACTTCATGTTCTGTGGCCATTAAAGAAGGGTCTGTGTCTGGGGCTTCGAAGGACTCTCCCCCCAGATCAGCCAGTTTGATGTAGCCCTTACTGTTGGAGCGCTCCAGACGAGGGCAGCTGAAGCGCCTGCCTCTGTCGCCTTGACGACACACAGTCACAGACAGGCTGCAGCGCCGTACAGACCTGGGCTGATCCGTGAGGGAGTTGAGAGACAGCCGTGACCCCATCGCCCTGGCAACAGGTGATGGAGGAAACAGCTGGGTCCACTGTGGTTGGGGCTGAGCCTGTGGCTCCCCCTGTTGGTCAGCTATGTCTATGGTTGTTTCCTCATGGCTCTGATGAGGTGGGGGGGAATCCACCGTCGAAGCGTCCTTCTCCTTTGCATCCATCCAGTCCTTCTGGCTGCTGCTGGGTTGTCCTTCCTCACTAATAGTTGCAGCAGCTGCCTCAATAATGACCTCTTCCTCTGAGTGTCTCTCTGACTTGACCCTCTCAGACTCCTCCACCTCACAGTTGTTCAGTTTGATCACAGGGAGGGTGAAAGCGTTCACAGAAGACGTTACGATGGAGGTGGTCTCCCACTGTCGGGGTTGTGGGGCCTGCTCGGTGTTGTTGCTGTAGTCCCTGTAGATGCTGTAGACAGTATCCGTAAAGGTCTGGACATCTCTTGACCAGCTTCGAGGTCTGCTGGCCAATGACGGGCGTCTTAACACCTCATCAACGACTAACTCACCATGGACGCCGAGTCCAGTAGAGGGCCATGAGCTGCGAGTTAGCATCCCACTTGCAGGGAAAGACCCAGACGGGCCTTCAGCATTCCTTGCCTGGGTGTAATTCACCAAACCATTTAGAGGCGAGTACTCCTTGGACCGTATGCTGTGCAGGTCTATAACAGTGGAGTAGATATCCCTCAGGTTAATAATTTTGGTTTTCTTGTCCCGGTTCTCATGGAGGACTGCATTAGCGCAGATGAAGAGAAAAATGCCAATTCCCATCACCAGTGGTCCAAAGACTTTCAGATTGTCCGAGTACAGGTAGTTATCCAGGAAGTCACACAGGAAGCCACAGTTGCGGGAGGGTGTACTGCTGTTGGAATGGCTCTGGTTTAACACCTCTGCCTGGCTGAACACAGGTTTACCACTGGTCAAGTTGGTGGAAACTGGCTGACCTTTGGAGAAGCTCATTCTATTGGTGTGGTATACTCCAGTTCTGCGACGTTCCTGGTACTGCTGCTGGTTCTGGCTTGGCCAGTAGCCCAGCACAGCCATGGAAATCCCAACCATAAGAACTACAACTCCAACACCAGCCACAAAACCGGCCGGGGAGCACAGATTGAGCTTCCCTTTCACCACGACTATGTCATTCTTCTTCTTTTTCCTGGATTTCCGCTTCCTTTTGTTTTCCGCCCGGTTTTTGGAGCGGAGGGAGTCCTGGCGCCGATTCATGCGCAGTAGACCACCTGTGGCTATCATGGTGGTGATTCGACAGCAGGCTTGTCACTTAACCTGGCAGGACAGAAAACAGAAAAAATAATACTATTAAATCCATGTTTTACATGATGAGCAGAAGGTTTAAACTGTCAGCGAGAGCAACAAAGTTCATTTCATGAAGAGATTACACATCTAATCCAGATTTGTAATATAAGGCAGGATTATCTGCAAAACTGGAAAACCACACAACGGCCCATGGATGATTCTGTAACAAATCTTTTGTTAACTTGTGAATGATTTTATCATATTCCACACCACACCACAAAATAAAACTGAAACATAAAGGGCATCAAGGTGTACAAATCTAGTTTTGGTACTAAATAAAAAAATCATCCAACTTCCTGCTATGAGTGCTCTGATATAACAGGCCTAGTTTATATCACTTTATATAAGTGATGTTGTGTTATGTATCGGTTTGATTTTGATGCGTCTTCTGTTGGTATAGTAAGTGGGTGAGACTCAATTAGAACACCATGATGCCACATTTTACAGGCTCTAATCTTTATTGAGCAACACTTAAATGAAAATCTAATGACAGTTGGTGAGTTGTTGTCAATCAGATGTGAAGAACAATGCAGTTAGATGTGTTTTTACACTTTTTTTTTTAGAAATGAATGTTTAACATCAAAGATAACTACTTATCAGGGGCTTAGTAATCTCCCGTTGTAAAACTAATTGGTTTCTTTGGCAAAATGTTTCTTTATGACAGATACTGGGTTACTCCAGCCCTGTATCTGAGATTATCCTACAGCAAGAGTATTGACATCTTCTTTTTGCAAAACAGGTAGATGCAGTATTAGTCATCAGATAGTCAGTAAACCAACAGATAACATCTTTCTGCTGCTACTGGATCTATAAATACAATGATGTAAGCGAAACAGAGATGGATAGCCAAGTTGACAGTGCTGGAACAGGGAGGAGTGATATTTATCTACACTCAGCTGTGCCGGTGTGATACCAGCCTATGAAAACGTAATGTGTCCAGACAGGAGGCCAGCAGGCATGTTCTCGCCACCTCGCTCTTCCTTCTTTACTCTCTCTCCTGCTCTCCACCCAAATCCATATCACCACCAACCAACGCAGCTGTGCTTCAAAATGACAGCGTCCTTCACAAACACAGCACGTCACAAAAGGAAAATATGAGCCATTAGCAGCTTGTTTACACACCAACACTCTCTGCAACTGAATATGTTGCATTGCTTTTTATGACTAAGCAGCGCAATAGTGGAAGCAGTTGTCCTTTGGGCAATGACGCCAGCAACACAGATCATGATTACAGTACAAACATCTGCCGATGAGTTTCAGCCACATGTGGGGAAGAATAATTGCAGAATAAGGCTGATTACTTTGACTCTACCATTCCCACCTTGATTGTGCTTGGAGCCAGGTATTTAATTTGACTAATCACGTCTAATTGTGTTTGACTTAGGGCTTAGGTTCATGAATAACTTATTGCACAAATTCCTTTCAGAGCTGCAGTTAATAAGAGGCTTCCAGTGGCTGCTCTGGGTGTTTATCTCGCAGTCAAAATAATGATGATGAAGGCCTTTAACAAAAATGCTTTTATGATTCAAGTTATTACAAGCAGTTCCAAGGGAAGTGGAACACGGAGCTCTGCACCTGAGCTTTAAGCAAACACCACACCGGTGCTCAGATGCTGTTTATGACGACTTTGTCAGTATATCACATCCAATAAGCACTCAAATGCCGTCTGGGCGAGCGCAAGTCAACCTGCACAAGAGCTGATGAAGCGTGGGCGGACCTCTCTCTGTGTTTGGAGAGAGAAGGGCAGCGGGAACGTTGACCAATAGTGGGTGCGGACAGGTCGGGCTGTTTCTCTGTCTGCGGTGCTGAACAGGAAGCTGCCAACTATCCAGCTTGTCTCTTACAAAAAAACAAAAAAGCTGCTGGTCTGGCAGGATGGAGAGGAACGAGGCCGGCTTTTTTTTTTTTTTTTTTACGCTCAGTCCTCACCGAGCTGCGGGGGCGCAGATTTTCGCGCAATGTTGCAAGAGTAATCGACTGTTGACATTACGGCGCATCTGTTTCCCTTCTGTTGGAGAAGCCCGTGAAGCAAATATGGGCTGTTGTGGAGTTTGGAGGTGCCCTGAAAATGTCCAGAGCCACAGCGACACATCTCGCCCCAAACACAAAGAGAACACACGGATTTTTTTTTTTTTTTTTAGGCTCTAAAGGTGCAGGCAGATGACAAAACATGCACCTCTATCACGGCCTGACGAAGCCCATGCTTTCATAACTAACGCTACAACTCGATGCTGTGTAGTAATAATTTCACGTTTATTCAAATGGACGAAGCAAGTCTCTGAATTGTCTTATTAACCTACAATAAAACGATTATTCACGACAGCATCGCAAACTTTAGCGAATAGAACCACCTCTAAAATAATGCTTTCTTTTGTACTTTATGCCTTTCATATGCCTATTCGACAGATGATGTATCAGATATGTATGGAAAGCCCAAAAGATGTCCATCACATTGTTACAAAATGATCCTTTTAATCTCACGGATAAAAGTAGGCTTCACGGACTGGAGTGCGCATAGCTCCAAGTACACCGCCTTCCCGACATCAAAACTCTTGTCCGTCGATTAATTCCCGTTTAGAATAACAACTCCGCAACTAAACCCATCAGCCTCACAATAAAAAATACTTCTTAAAACCATCGCTTTACCTCGATACCAGCCTCTGAGGAGTCAAAATGGAATCAGACGCGACTGCAAAGCACAAAAGACGCTCGGATATTCCGCTGGAGGCAGAGACAGGAGGAGAACTGATCGGGAGGGGAAGGAAAAGACACACACAAAAAAAAAAAATCCTAAAACAGCAAGTCTCTTACCAGAAATCGCTGATTGGCGATCAAGCATCTTCAAAGGCGCACTCCTCGTTTAGCTGTGCATGTCGTGGTGCGCCACTTTGGTGCCAAGGCTGGAAGAGTGGTTTCCAGTTGAACGCAGATTCACAATAGACCGGCAGGGGCGGGCCAAGTGCGTTTCCATTGGTGCTGATTATTGGGCAACGTGAAGAACGAGGGCTGCTCAGGACATTTATCATCCTTTAGGTTGTACTCCAAATGTTTCCAGATGTGTTTTTTTTTTTACTCCTGATTCGTTTACATATTTGGACACTAAAGCGGGATACTGCTGATTACACTTGATTGTCTCTTATACAGAATGTCATTGGCATTTTCTGCAACACTCTGTGGTTTCTGCACAAGGATATGGATTTTTTTTATGCCATGCAGAAAGAGGAAGGGGACTGCAGAGATCTCTTATTTATGCAAAGGCTTCTCATACATAAGGGAATAAACACAATACATGCATGGCTGTGTTATTGGTTTCATGTTAAACACGAGGACACACAAAACACACTTAAACACATACATTCGTATTTTCATACATGCAGTGCTGTCCTCTCCCTACACTTCTCCCTTGGGTTAGATTGCTATAATTGCCTGTATGCTGCGTCCTCGTGTTTAACAAAATGAAATACGACAGAGTCCAGATGTGTTTCACTGATGTGAGACTGGAGACAGAGGCAGCAGCTCTGTACTGGGCAGGGGATGGAAGCAGCATGAATAACAAAGCTTAGCGCTGATGCTCCAGAGAGCTCACTGCAAATTTATGACCCAGAAATGTGTGGTTCTTTTTTGTTTGTTTGTTTATGGCATAAATTAAAGGGAGAAACAGAGGAACTCTAGTTTGTAATGCGGCATTTGGAGTCGGAGTATACATTGACATGGGGAATAATCCAGGGGTTTTAAAAAAAGAAAAACTGTCTTTAATCCATGATGATACTGAAGGCGGTGGAGGTCTGGAGCAGCTTTTAGTTAAGCTCATGTGATATGTAGGAAGACACAGTGAGTTACAACAGATGTTTCTGAGTTACTGACATGGGCTTATAACCTCATAAAACTTTGATACTGTGAACAAATTCTGCAAATATTCCAAAACATGCTCTCTCAATATAACTGAGCCTCAATAGCAGTATAATTGGCTGGGATCGGTAATTTGACAATATGTAAATCATGATTGAATATGCATGAGCCTATCAAACCTGTACATGATTGTCAAGTTGTTTAATCACTGCAAATCATCCACTTGAAAAGGTCTTATTGCTCTACCCGTAAAATGACTGGATTCCACTCCAACATAAACTTCTCTCCTTTTGTGTCCTTTTATTTTGAAAGTTAGTTTTCAGCAGTCAGTTAGCGTGGTTCACTGTTAGTTTGTTAGCTGCCAGTTAGGCTATCTCTGTTAGCTGGGCACGATCCATAAAAAAAAAGAAAAAGGAGACACAAGGAGTTTGTGTTTGAGTGGAATCAATTATCTTATGGTATGATGTTATTGAACCACTCGACAAGGGAAAGAACCGGCTGCCTCTTTGGAATTGTAGAAAAATCCCTTTTGAGCAGTTTTGCAGCTTGTCAGATTGTCTCTCTTCGTTGGAGCAGCGTGTTACCTGGTGGCCTGCTGCCCCTCAGGCTGTGTGTGTCTTTTAATGTTCGAGGTGGACTTGCACTGTGAAGACTAATCCCTTCCGGGATCCCTTGTTTCATGATTCTTCTTTTGACTGCAGATTCTGCGTACCATTCTATTTAATAATTACTATTTCAAATAATTTAACAGTATATTTTAATCATTTAAGGAGTCTACATCTGTACGCTACCTTGAGTTTTATTTTGAAACAAATGTTTCTGTCTTTAAAACAGATGTTTTTAATGCTGTAGATTTACTTATTTATGTTTATCTCTATTATTTCTAATCCTACAAACAAGCTGACATCACAATGATAAATTGTATAAAATTTTAGTCTAGATGTCAAAAAATAAGGCAAGGAGGTTCATCACAGGGCTTTGTGGAAAATCCAAGATGGTAGATGAAACAAACAAGTCAGACACTCTGAGAGTTTTTTGCCTTTATATGTAATGCTACATGTAATTGGATGTATGAGTGAAAAAGAACATATTGACAAGCAGGGATCTCCCACTTGTGGATCTCCCACTGAAATTCAGGGTTTTGAGTGTAAATCCAAAAGTGACGTTTTCAGATTCTGTCATTTGTCCAACCAGCAGTCCAAGACCGAAGACACTTCTTTACTGTCATGAATAACAATGAACAGCAGCAAATGCTCAACTTAATACAGCTGGAACCAGAAAATAAAAAGCACACAGAAATGATTATTGATTATTAACAGTTGATGATTCGGTCACTGCTCTTTACCATCTCAAAATTGCAGTATTAATGGTGTATCTTTTATCAAGACTCCCCAATTACAAATTCGGAAACAATTTCGACCAACACAAAACACAAGTCAACTAACTCCCTTACTGCCATCAACCACACATCATATCCCCCCTCATTATGTCATAGTCAAGAGATTATGCTCCCTCAACAGCTCTTGAACCCAATCATTAATCAGTGTGAGAACCCACTCACAGATTTACAGCAAGTGTAGCTGCGTCTGTATTTCAGCGTGATCTCATTTGCCCCGTACAAAATGCCGTCTGGGTCTCTCTCCAATGGATCTGTATTTATGGTGGTAAATGTGCTCTGTGTCAAGTATGGTGGAATGACCTGTTCTCCTAAATGTATTCAATATATTAGAGAAAAGAGTAAGAAAAAAAAAGTCATTCATTAGTCTTTTCACAATGTAGGTCTGTGGAGAAATCCACTGGTTATTGGCCATCATGCAGAGAAATGTTGAAGTAATTGCTATCTCATTGTTATAGGATGTTTAGTTTCCACTGCCTGCAGGTGAAAGAGTACCAGAGTGCAGACCTTTGCAGAAGCTGCAAAAAGGAGATAATTCTGCAGATCTTATTTAAAAACTTGCCTTAATGACTTTACGCTCACATACTTAATCATTTCTTATCAGACACCCCAAGGTAATTAAACCCAGCTAAAGCATGTTAATGAAGTGGGAACTCTGTGTCGTAGAAAGAAAAAGGATGGAAGGTAGTATGGATAAAGAAAAGAGGGATGTAAAAGACAAAAAAAAGAAAAGACAGACTGGAAAGATACAAGGATTTCTGTTATGTCATACGCTCCTTAAACCAGGTCTTTCATGTTTGGGGAGGGGTGTTGCCATCCACACTGCAGCAGTAATTCAATAATTCAATTTATTCCTCCATGATCATATCATGTCTGTCACGGTTATTTAACACACCGCTCCTCCCATCCTGTCGGCCTTGGATGATGTGTATCCCATGTGCAGTATTTTTCAAGCTATAGGAGATTTGCTCCTATACCATTTTCTGATGCTTATCAAAACATTCAGTAGATCATCCCTCACACATGCAGGCATCCCAGGAGACGGTGCACCACAGTGAGGCTGTAGTGTCAAAAATAGTTCCAGTGGTTCTCCTTCTGAAATCTACCCGGCTGTGTTGCTGCTCATATCTGCAGAGCACAGAACACACACACAAAAAAAAAGGACATTCAAGCCATTTCACTTTATCCTCGAGCTTCCTCTCCTTGTCAGACTCTCTTTTAGTTTACAATGTGCTGGTTAATAGCAAAGACATATATCCGAGGCAGCATCCAGAGCTGCAGGGGGTTCATTTCATTCTCGAGCTGGCTAATTGGGAAAGTAGAAAGTTGAAATGTGGGCTCAGCGAGAGATCGAATCCCTCCAGGAGATGTCATTATTACAGCCTTGGTTAGTGCAGGAGTCAGGGAGCTTTGCACTTGAAGAGATAAAAGCCTCGCTCCCTTCTGAGGCCTTTGAAATAAAGACATGGTTTTGTGAGAGCTTAAACAGATGTAAGTCGGTTGATGGGCTATCAATTAAAAGGAAAACTACTGTGGTCCAAGTCGTTGAGGGGAAAAGAATATGCTTCTCATCTTGTTGGCTGTAAATAACAAGGCAACCATCCAGCTTGTCATATTGCTGACAAGTGCACAATAATGTAAAGGCTATCTTTAAATATAAAACAACTTTCAAAGTGTATTCTTTATATCTGAAGCTCAAGCCATTCCATGGTCACAGCTTCTTCCTACCTGTGAATACAATCAAAGCCGCTCAGCCCCCTCCACACCCACAGGAGAGACCTGCTGGCCATTTCATTTGACTGGTATCTGAATTTCCTACATTCCTTTATGCTTATATGTTTTATAGCACACACACTTTATGAATTATCATTGTTTAAGTCACAGGGCACATAACATACTTTCTGATGAGTGGGCATATGTCTCAGTTAAAACTTGTTCTAAACAGGGCGCTGGTGGTCTAGCAGTTAGGACGCGCCCCATTTTCAGAGGCTACAGTCCTCCAAGCAGGCGACCCAAGTTCAAGGCTGACCTGTGGCTCCTTTCCTGCATGTCATTCCCCTCTCTCGCTCCCAAAATCTTACTGTATCCACTGTCCTATCTTAATGGAGGCAAGAGAACCCCCCACCCTCAAAAAACAATAAAATGAAATGAAACCAATAATAATAATTATAAAAAGTTTTCTTAGCTTCTACACTTGGAAAAACATCTGTTGGTAGTTATTCCATTCCATTGTGTAAAACTATCAAAGTGATTGTGGTAAATCATTAGCAACCTCAGTCAGTGATAAATGGCTGTCATGTGAATATCTTTAATTGTAGATTAAAAGAAATGCTTCTCAAAAGATGTAAAGGTTTTTTTTTTGCTAGGGGACTAGCTGTAGATAGATATGATTTGACGCTAGAGGGTGTATACACAGCTGGAGAATTACTTGTGGGACTGACTCAAATAACCCTACATATTGAAGAAACACATCCCTGTGTGGAACAGCATGGCTGACTGATGTGTTTTTAACATCAATGAAGCAGGAAAGCAGAGAAATAAGATAAAACAGGCTTTGGAGGCCGATTCAATTCTTGTCATTGGGATTGATTTGTTGTTTGTTTTGTTATTTAGATTGAAGAAAATATAGATTAAAGAAATGTATCCTTTAAAGCCTCCTTATTGCTTCTAGGTCAAACCTACACTGTAAC